GATTCAGGTTCTGAGCTGAAGTTTAGCTTGAAGGACTTTAATAAACATCTGCAGCAGGGTTGATATTGGAGCGTCTCCAAAGATAAAGAGTTGAACACGTTCACACACAACAGCAGTAACTTCATTAATTACTCATAATTACAAATGATCTGAAGTGTTAAAGTGTCAGGATGTAGCAGCAGGGAGCAGGTGAGGAGTTATTTAAACAGTCTGACAAGCTGCTGTTAGCTTAGATTTAGTCTTTCGTTGTGTCATACGTCACTTAAACTCTTGTGTTTGATAAATCTGCTGCTGTTCTCTTGTTTAAGTCTGTAGAAGTCGTGAGGAGCATTAAAATAAATGTGACTTTTGTCTGAATGACAAAACGTTGTCACTTTGACTGAACTGATGACGGACTAGGATCAGACTGATTCATCACCAAACCTGCAGCTCCTGGTTTTGGTCTCAGTGGCTCATTTACAGTAGTTTTATTTGCCCATGCACTGGTTTTGTGTGTATGAGGAGTGTGTTTGTGTGGCGGCGTACGGTTGGCGTGCAGGAAGGCCGGGTACAGCTCTCTGGGCAGCAGAGGATCAGGCATGTCCCTCAGGAACTCTTTGAGCAGCGCCGCCACGTCGTGGACGCTGTGCTCCTCGTCCAGCTGGACGTCCACGCCCATGTCGAAGTCGTCCCTCAGCTGGGGACAGATCACACAGCAGCTCATAAATACATGCAGAGACACAGACACGAGTTCGCTGACTGATGGAAACAAGCAGCGGGGTCGTCCGGAGGCTGCCGTCCCCTGATGGACGCGGTTTCTGAAAAACAGGATGTCGCACATCATCTGCTGCTCGCTCACGAGGATTTCTGTCCTCCACATCGAGTGACTCAGAGGACGGATCACAGCGAGCGGCCGACAGTAATCCTCTCTCATCAGCGACGCAAGCTGTAAATAAAAAGTTCACATACGGCAGCAGCAGCTTTAATCAGCGGCGACATTTAAAAACGTCTGATTCAGGGACAGCCGAGGCTCTGAGGAGGAAGCAGGTCGACTGAGTCACCGAGTCCTCAACTTCAATCAGAGTCTTTACTCTTTTTACACGAGTGAACTCCATCCATCCATCATCTAGACACCGCTTATTCCTCACTGGGGTCGCAGGGGGACGAGTGAACTCTTCATATATATTTTATGGATTTATAAGTTATGATTTTGTGACTTGTCTCTGAGCCACTCTGACCTCATCATCAGTGATATTAAAGGAAATATCAGAATAAAAGAAAAAAATAAATCACGTCTCTGAACGACAGAGCGTTGGTGATAATAGTTGGCTTTGTAGTAACACTTCCCACAGACGTGCAGCATCTTAGCTGTTAGTTAGACAAGAAAGCAGCTCACCAACATCAGCCCATGTGCTCATCAACAGCTGTCAGTGCTTCTTTATTCGCTGGAGCTTCAGGTTGACAGTTTAAGTTGATCCGAGAGCGTTTTAACCGTACAGACGTGTTTCTGTTTCATCCAGTGTTCAGTTTCAGACAAACAGCCTCAGACAGAAGTAAAGCAGTGCCCTTAGTGTCAGTATATTTAAATGCTGTCACTGGTGATTGATGGACTTTCAGTGTGTTTTCCTCTCAGTCCACCTGCATGCATCACGAGTGCAAATAAATACACACTCGTCTACACTTGACGGTGAACCTGACGTGTGCTTTAATCAGTAAAGCAGGTCGTGAACTATATATGTGCTCTATGAAATCAGAATTCAGGTATTTGAGCTGATGATTGTCCACGTTTTAGGTCCACAGCAGTCGTGGACGTTTAAATGTAAAACCATTTTAAAATAAAACATTCTTTTTAAATGTATTTTTCTACCTGGAACATTCGACCCAGGTGTGTTTTCTTAGTGGTTAAACTGCGTCCTCACCTGTCGCACTCTCTTCTTGGAGCTCCCGACTCTGAAGATGCCGACAGTCTGAAGACCTGAGGACGCAGAACGGTGTCAGAGTTCAGTGTGACCAACACTAAGTCTCCTCAGCGTTACCTCTCCGTCGTCTCACCGTGGGTCTCGATGTGGCTGCAGCACCTCTCCAGCACCCGGGGCACCTGCCTGTAGATGGGGTTCAGGCTCAGCTTGGTCTGGGTCCGGCCCTCCGACGAGCCGCCGCCCGCAGACTTCTTCAGCTCCAGCTCGGCCGGGTGGGAGAGCTGCAGCGCCTCCAGCAGGCGGGACTGGCTCTCCACCAGGTCGGAGATGGAGTCCACGGACAGACCGCCCTGCAGGCAAACACACGACTGATTTAATCTGAATTATGAAGCTGGACGTTAGAAACCCAGTGAGGAAAATGAATAAACAAACATCTACAAGGACATTTAAAAGATTCTAGATTCTAAACGTCATTTAATTTAACTTTAAGATGTCAGAAAGTCTTTGTATTTGGAATCAGACTCTGAATTTCTTCCCTCGTGTGCTTTTTTCTGCTGGAAACAAAATAAGAAGCTGTTGCCTCTTCACACATCCAGCTGCTCCTGAGCGGCAACAGCGTTCATCACCAAATATAAATCCAATAAAGGAGGCTCCTGTAGTTGTGAGCAATGAGAGCAGCAAGTTTTGAAACCAAAATAAAAGCTCTAAGATGCAGAAAGTGCAGAACTTCATCACTGTCTTCTTGGTTAAACTCCAGTTTCACAAATGCAAACATCATATTCTCATAACGCTGATGCTTAAAAGGCTCAGCAGGAGACATTTTGATCATTTGAGAAAACCAGGAGATCCTAAAATGCAAATGAAGAAGGAAAAAGCCGGAGCAGATGGCAGCGCTGGGCAGAGAGCTGACGAGGAGGAGGAGGAGGAGGAGGAGGAGGATGGAAAGAACGTCTCAGGATGGATGGCAGCAGAGGAGGCCAGCGCAGCGCACAAGTCAACTTTTATCACTCATCCTGACGCCGGCGTCCAACAAACACGAGAGCAGCCGAGTCCTGCAGGAGCATAAATCAGAGCTCCTGGAGGAACATCAAGTGTCTGAGTTTCCAAGAGCAGCGCGGTCCAACGGCAAACCACGGCGCGGGAATTATGTTCACTCCGTCTGCACGTCAAGAGCTTCAACGTGTTCAAAATGTCACTTCTGCTTTGTAGGTTTGCTGCATCATCTGAACGTGGAAAAGTGGGAGGAAGCCACAGTTAATATTAGACTAATAAACCAGCTTCAGTTGTGTTTACTTGAAGCGCTGCTCTCCAAAACCAACTGAGGTCTAACACATGGAATGAATGTGTCTGAATCCACACGACCACTTGCTTATTTTCTAATTTGCAGCTCGATCATGGTTTCTGCACATTATCGCCTGACCGATTAAAAAAAAAAAAACAACAAAAAATGTGTCACAAACTGCACAGGGAACAACACAACTTCTGCTGCAGCTTCTAAATTATAAGAATGTCTCAGTTTCCTTCATCTTCATTGTTTTCTGGATGAGGAAAAAAAAAAGCTATGAGGAGATTCTAATGAGCATATTTTACTATTTTCTTGCTTTTTATCGATGAAACTTTAATCAGTTCATTATAATAATCATTAGTTACAGCAGAGGACAAGAACTCAACACATTTAGCTTGAGTCTCACTGTAACAGCTGGCAGCGTTGCATTCTGGGAGGACACTTAACGTCTACTCTGCACAGTGAGGCTAACCTGAAATCCCTCCTCGAGTCTCTGGTCGCTGAGGAGGTCTGGCAGCTTCCCAGCTTCTACTCCTAAATTACTGAAATATACACACACGCCGTCATTTAAAATATCCTCCCAGCAGCTTCTCTTCCACAACTCGTCTCGCTGCAGCCGTTAATCTCAACCTTTGCTCCGTCTCTCCGCGGGACACGACGGCCGAGCTGCTGCCGTCCAGACGCCCGTCAGCGGCTGGGTCAGAGTCCCAGTTAGTGATGCTGGAGACCAGCATGTAGGTCCACAGCCACCAGTTCAGGCTGCTGGGAACGTGGTGGATCCGGTTGCTGTTGGTATGTTCCAGATATTCCAATCTGGACTAAAGCGAAGGACTGAAACGAACATAAACTGAGCGTCTGAACTCAGACAGGCTGCATGCGTTCATCATTTCGGTCGGTGGCGACGTTAGTTCAGTGAAGAGTTTAAAGGTTTTATTTTATGTTATCGACCAACTGAAGCTGAACAAACAAACAGTTTGACTCCTCGTGTATCACAACCGTCCACAAGAGTCACGTGACTGTTTATCTGTGGACGTTAAACATCTTGTGAGCAGAATGAATTCATCGATGTGACGTTTAACTATCATGTAATGCTTCATGTTCAGCTTCATTTCTCACTCATTAATATAAAACAAACAATAAGTAGTTCAGATAAACAACTACTGTCATTATTATTACTGAAAATCTTCATATCGCCAATAAAACAGACGAATTTTATGGTTCTTTCTGAAAAACATCGGCTCCAAAAATAAATTGTCTTCTTTTTCCTGTTAGTCGGGTAATAGATTACTGATTACTGTACTTGATTACTTCCATGTGATGCTACTTCATGCTTCCACTCAGACGCACATGTTGGACTTTTTAACTTTACCAGCTGGTAAATCTGCAGACTTTAAATTCAATGAAAAAACTGAATTAAGCAGCTTTTTTTAATTGATTAAATAACTTTTAGTGACCGGGAGCAACGATAAAATGAGGCTAACACGTTTTTGCGTCACTGATTTTATATTATTCTGATTATTATTCAGATTCTTTTGTGCTTTTACTCAAGTTTTGGACTTTTTTTGAAAACAAAACCAGTCTGGATCTATTTTTAAACATTTTCTGAGCTGAACAGTTCATCGCTCATCACATTACGGAGTCGTTTGTGTCGCGTGTTTGCAGTCAGCCAGTGTTTTCCTCCGTGACCGACTCCTGACGGCTGGTCCACATTCGATTACTGCTCTCCGAGGCGCTAATGATGCTCATTACCAGCTTTACATAACCAGCGGTTCCACATCAGCAGAATTACCGCCTCCAGCAGACACACACACACACACATACACACACACACAGCGTTACTCCTACAAACACACATGTGAGGAAACAAATAGAGGAAGAGCTTGTGAGAGTGTTTACAGCAGCCAGAGATGAGCTGCAGTCCTTCATTATGACACCAGAGACAAACACCTGGCAGCTCTCACCTCGCTGGCATCAGAGGCTGACGCAGCGAGCAAATGAGGAATTTTGGCAAAAGGAGGGAAGAAATTAAAGACCATGACGGAGCAAGAAGATGATGTACAGGTCAGTAAATGCTAATATGTGGTGGTGAGACACAAACAGTGACTTGACGACACCTGGAGTTTGTGACTTGACTATTCTGCCATCTTGTTTTTATTCCTATTCGTTTATCTATTTTCCTCTGAGCAGCACCATCCAGCTGTGTCTGTGATCCTCACCCTCCTCTGTCCTCTGCCGGTGTTGTCCAGGAACGTGGGCGACATCGGTTTGTTCTGGGCGTCGACCAGCGGCGCCGGCGCCACCGAGTTGGCGGACGGCGAAGCCGGGCCTCCCCCCGTGATGGACGAGGAGCTGCCCAGAGGTTTGCTCCCGTTGAAGAACTGCCTCTTCTCGGCCCGGAAGCGCAGGATGCTGGCCTCCAGCTCCAGGCAGTCGCGCCGGCTCTCCTTCAGGGCGTCCTGCCGCCGCTTGTAGGCCCGGTCGTTGGCGATGACCTGGGACAGCGGGATGCCAAAGGCCTTGGGGGCGGACTCTGAGGGAGGAGGACAGAAACGATTAGGAAGCTCTTTAGTTTGTCAGAGTTTCAAACCAGCGCTTGTTGTTGTTAGAATCAACACAAATCTGTGGTTGGAGCAGAACTGGATCCTGAGAGGGTTTTATTTACGGAGCACATTCTTCTCTGCTGATACCATCGGAGCTCCAAACAGGAAGATGATCCCACTTTCATCTTCTTTGTGTCCTTAAACCCTTGTCCCTTTTTTTTTTTTTTAGTTTTTAATTCAATGAGCTGTTTTCATGGCATCCCAGAAGGCAATAAGGACATTTACACATTATTATTAAATCAAAACGCCGTAGAGTTCTGCAGGTAGAAGTGACTCTGAATAAGTTCACAAGAATCGTGATGTTATGCATTCGCTCCCTTCCCCCAATTCTACACCAATGCATGAACGTTTCCCAGGAAACTCATGCAAAAACTGGCTTTAAACAGTGACATCATGCAGGCTAACACATATCATGAGGATTTCAGAGCAAGAAAAAGCCCCACAGTGTTTTATTATTAACGTACTATAATCCACCAATAAGAGCTTCACGTTTTCCAGCAAAATTATAGTTTTTTCATCATTGGTTTTAATCAGTTTGCATTTCTATTTTTTATTTATATGTTTATTTTTATATTATAATTATTTTATTAATATTTTTGTAAGGCTGTTTTGTCTCCCTTTAGTTGTGTCCGCGCCTGGTCGAGGATTTGTCTGATCTAATGTTTTCTGATTTGCTCACCTCACCCAGATTGTCACTTTTTAGACATAGATCTCAATATATATGCAAACATCACACTTAAAGGCATCGTTTGTGCTCAAAGAAGTGCCTCAAGCTCATCTTTGAATATACGATATTCTAATAAAACTCAGTGAAACACCTGCATAAAAATATTTTTGTAAATAATCGACTGAGAACAAACTGTAAAAGAAGCGACGGCGATAAGAATGTGAACGAATGGAGAGACTGAGTGAAAGAAAGTTTAAATCAGCCCTAACGCTGATGTGTGTTTACACGATGAAATGAACTCGGTAACTTGTGAACGCAGTAATCGCTCGGCTCCCTGCGCACCAGATTAGAGGTTCAGGCAGACGAGCGGTATAAGAATAGACAGCGTGGATGCAGAGAGCAGGTAAGAGGAGGATCAGCAGCTAATCCTGTCAGAGCCGCCACAGTCACCATCCAGACATCACACTCAGACCGATACGGGCTTAAAGCAGCAGCAGCAGCAGCAGGAAGCTCGACACGCCGTCACCGCAGGAGCTCGGCTAAAACTGAAAATCCTTCGCTCTGCTGCACCTCATGAGCCCGAGCAGCAAAGATCCAGTTAGAGGAAACGCAGCAAGAATGGCAACACAAACAAAGGCTCGGATTAGAGAGCGACAAAAGCAACAACGAAGGTTTCTGAGCACCATCATCTGCAAAAGTTTAGACCTCAGACAGTTTAGTGAAATAAGCAAAAGCCACCATGACAGAACTAAACAGGAGAACTTTTTAAAAACTGGTGTTGTAAATAGTGTTATACTGATACTGTGAAAGTACCCCAGAGTTAAAAACAATATTATACTTGATGTTATTAGCTTCAATATTTTAACAGAAGCCATTTTTCTGAGCTTGCTTGATGTACGATGACGGTTTACGTCTCTGCAGGCATTCAGCACAACAACGACTGTTTTCTCACGTTGCTGCAGAAATACGTGCAAACTTTCCAGAGTTTGTCCTCAAAGCAGAAGCACAACATGAAATATGGGCTCATCTGGGGTACAGCGGACGGTCCAGGTGTTAGCAGTCGTGTCACTTTAGTATCAGGTAGGTATTGTTTGGAAGTCCTGGTAACGTGACAACAACATCGTGATCCAGAATTCAAAGATTTTCCAAATGCTTAAATGTGTTAAATAACAGAAAACCTTAGAACCAGACAGGACACTGAAGACTTGTAAATGTGACTGACAGCACAGCGGTAAGTTCTGGACAGACTGTAGGAAAAGCTGTGAGTTCACATCCGCTCTAGCTTTATTTACGACCAGACGATGCAAATCCTGGGAGGAGTTTTTATTTTTTCCAACAGGCTCTTTGACAGCAGTTTGCACCTTAAAAGCTTTTTTTCACCGTCTCACAGCTTCTTTAGTTTCTGCCTGGAGTTGAATATCTTTCCTCGAGGCTGGCAGCAGATCAGACTCGGTTTGATTTCCTGCTTTATTGTGACACATCTTTGATGAACTCGGCATTCACCCGTCGTGCAGCCTTCGCTTCCTTTTCTTTTCGTCCGTGCATCTAAAAGTGAACTCTTTGTTGTCCTGCTAGTGTCACCCATAATCCTCTTACACTGTGTGGGTTTAAAGACATGAGCTCACCTCACCCAGAGTGAGGAAATTATCTCTAATTGCCCTCTAAAACCTAAACGATTTAACTGTTACACTGTGTTGTACACATTTAAAACAGACTGAACGTGTAGAACAGTAATTAACCTTTGAATGAAGTCAAATATGCCCTAAAAAGTGCTTTTAAATTAAACAAAAAGCTACGGTTACATTATAATTTCTAAAATAAGACGATGTTTCACTGAACTCCAGAAATTTCCAACTTTTATAAGCTACAATTTTGCACAAATCTCATCAAATCATCCAATAATTTATCTAATTTTACTTGAACAACACAAACATATCTACGTAAATTTGATTTAGAAATAAGTCAACCTTTACTGAAGGCTGAATAAGACACATTTCTGCGCTACAGTCAAGAAAAACTGTGTTATAATGGAACATAGTGGAACTTTTTATCCCAACTCTGGTTAATCGCAGATTAATTACAAATCTTAACTGTTAGATTTTAAAGAAGCACATTCAGAGAGTAAAGTCCTCCACCGAGAGCGTCCTATCGTGTCATTTTAAAGAAAATCATCCATATTTCAGTGAGAAACGGGACATTTTAAAAACACTGGCTCTGCAGCAAACAACCGCCTTATTGATTGATCGATTCGTTGTTTGGTTTATAAAGTGTTAATCTGTTTCTCAAAGCTCAAGATGACTAATAAAGGCATGCAGCTCACTGGCAAACTGGAATCAGAGCATTTTGACTTCTTCTTCTCAAAAATAACTTTAAATTGTTGATAATTAAATCTCTGCCGCTCAGGTGAACTGTGAAAGTCGTGACAGTATTTGTCTCTTTTTTAATTTGCGTCTCAAAAGTCTTGTCATGACTGAAATCGGTGAGTTTTGCGATCAGTCGCATGACTCACACTGAGATATTTTTGCACTTCAGATGCATTTGCTTCATGTCTTTGTGGAAAAACACGTTCCTTAGAGATGATTATTCCCTCGTGGGGGTCAGAGGGCGACTACAGAACACATCTGGAGGCGGATCCTGTCAAATGACATCCCACCGGGGACGAGGTTTTGTGGTCTTGAACTCTGATTGTCGAGTTGAAGGATGAGCTGTTCTCGTCCGATGCTTCCTGTGCACGGTGACAGTTTCTCTCTAAAGCTCCTCAAAAACACACACGATTAAACTGTTTTTACGGTAATAACAGCTCCAGACGGGCAAGAGGCCGTCGGCTCGCCCTGCATGTGTCATTCACACGCATGGAAGCAGATTAATGCATCTGTACTTACACAATCACACCGTGAACACGCACATGACTGAATGAAAACACATGGGACACGTGCACAGTCACGCCTGGTGAGGAGAGTCTGAAGCAGGTCAGACAGCCAGGGCAGCCTGGCAGCGACTTAAAGATACGGGATTGACTCAGCTGGAAATAACTCAGGTTGGGCGCGGTGTTTATTCAGCACCTTGATGCAACACGGACGCATCATTCATGGGCAAGCAGCCGGCAAAACTGGTGTTTAAATAAACCAGACTGTGCAGGCCAACACATACCGTTACCTTCATAACAGACGACTGTGTGGAGCTGAACCACAAACTACTGAACAGCTGCACGGCTTCTTCAATTTCACAACCAGCTTCATTTGGATCATGACTCCACCTGATAAAATCTTTACCTGCAAAGCTGCATCAGCATATCTCAGTGTCTCCAAGAAGCTGATAAGCGATGCCCTTTGGATCTAATAATCCGACGGTGCAACAGTCAGAACTATGAAACAGCTTTTCTTCCTCATTTGGCGATCAGAATTATAACAGTTTAAAACGCACATTCATTTGTGTGAAACACCTCTCAGGCTGCATTTGTTGTCTTTTAATTCCTACTCTTTGATTGGAGGCTGATCTGGCCGGCCCTCCTCCTGCTCCACGTGTCCATCCATCAGGTGCCAGGCTCACAGATAAGCTCCCTGACAGGTGCCTTGCTGGCCAACTGCCAGCTAGCATTAGCTAATAGCCACAAGCTAACAGTCTGCACTGCAGCCAATGGCTTGTAAAGATTGTGAAGCTACATGGTTGTTTACACAGCAGCTCATGGTTCATTAAATCTAACTTGCTGTAGCCTATTGAGTAGATATTAAAACATAATAGCTTATAAATATGATAAACGGCTGGTAGAGGAAATGTAAGAACACTTTCTAGCAACTCTTCAGTGCTAGTTGTGTGAAGACTCTTGGGTCTCATGGGAACAAAATTAATGACTTGTTATGTTTGGCAACCACCAAACACCTCACGTCATCACAAACACACCACCCCCATCATGAAGCACGGAGGTGGCAGCATCATGATGAAGCACGGCGGTGGCAGCATCATGATGTGAAGCACGGAGGTGGCAGCATCATGATGAAGCACGGTGGTGGCAGCATCATGATGAAGCACGA